GTCCTCTTTTGGAAGGCCAAACAAAATAGTTTCTTTCACAACAAAACACACAGCGTCACACACGGCGGGCTAGAGTGGGCGGAGACCGGCGGGCTTCAGAATGGTGCGGCCCGCGGGCTTGCGGCAACCACATGTGACGACCCCGGGCTGGACTCCGCTTCGTCCACGGTGAAAGCTGATCCGGCGATCCACAGCGCGAAGTTGATGTATTTCCTCAGCGACCAGCACGGTTCAGCTCTAGGCATGACGAAGCGGATATCGTCCTCTTTTGGAAGGCCAAACAAAGTAGTTTCGCTTTCACAACGAAGCACACAGCGTCTTCACGACATGGCGGCAGCAACAATACTACAGCGAGAATAAAAGTTACGCCTTTTTTCTTTGCGTGAACATTTGGGCGGCATTATGCAAATCTTCCCACATCGTGATGTAGACATGTTACAGACGTGTTAGAACGAGGCATTTTAGGTAGCCGTGGTTGACTCTGAACTTTTATAAAGAATATCTCTTTGGATTTGAGACTTTAGTCTTTGCAACTTTACAGATATTCTTTATGCACCAAGAGCTTGTAACACTCCAAAGAGAAAGGAAAAATTGAAATCGCATCATATGACCCCTTTAAACAGTATGTATTTGTGTAAAGAACAGTTGCTCAACCACCTCCAGCAGTACTGTGACCTGTTAAATGTTACAAAATGCAAATCACTGAAGGCCTTCAATTATTCAGTTGTTTATTTTAAGTTTGAGTACTTTTTTTTACCCTTTAGCAATGTTTTCTGACTTTCTTAGAACCTGAATAGAACGAAGGTGCATTACTTTAATCTGTAAATTATTATGTTCCTTATTTTTTCTGAGTTTAAAATACCCATTGTTTGCCTATTTTCAACAACACTTTATTTGTCTTTTTTTGTAATTTTCTTTCTATGTCTTTTCTTTTCTGTCATTTCTTTGCATGAATCACTCAAGGATTTCCAGTAATGCCTTTGTAATGCTTTGCAATTCTATAATCCTTTGTGTGCGAATAAAAATCTTTATAAAACTGACATTTGAAATGAATCTAGAAAAGTTTGATTTTATGTCTAAAAGAAAAGTTACTTTGAGAAGATTTTGTATAATAAAATGTTGTTTTTTAAAACTCTGAATAATAATAACAAATAACTCCAAATATATTATTTTCGAAAAATTATATATATTAATATTATATATGGAAGATAAAATAGTCTGGATATACCGTTGAACCTCTTTTTAAAAAAAAATAATAAAGGATTTTGATGAGTGAATTTACTGCGGTGAATATGAAATTTTGCAAGAAGTATAGGTTAATAATAAAGTAGGCTATTCATTATTTTAATCTGTTTGAGTATTAAAGAAGCCGAACATTACATTCTTAAAAAACAGAGAGAAACCCGGGAGCACATTGCGATTAGAAAATTAAATCCAAAATAGCTGTGTGTGAGGACAATCCCAGAAGATCTGAATATCAGTTACATTAGGGGCACCACAAAAAGAACAGCTTGTATCTATATCCATATCTAAACTCTACCGAAACTACAACACAACCGACAACTGACATACGCCTTCAACTCCGGAAGTGTTTCCTTTACCGGAAGTTCTAATGTGACCAAGAAAGATGGCGGGGGGTTCTGCAATGGAGCTGCTCTTTTTAGATACGTTCAAGCATCAAAGTGCAGAGGTAAGCTTGCGAAGTTTTCCATCTTCACCCGTGTCTTTTAACCGCATGTTACAGAGACTACAGTCTAATAGACATTAAAATGTTTTTCTCTCGTTCTTAAAGTTTCCATTGCAATAACGCATTGAGCGCTGCCTGTGAACAGTTAGTTAGCTTGCTAATTGCCACAGTAATTCATACATATTAAATTCATTAAAGATAGTATTCACATTTCATAATAACACCCGTTATTCTAAATTTAAAACAATTACGTTAACCTACTATAAGTTAGATGTTGTATGGCAGAGCAAACCAGACGGTATTGTATTAACGTTACGTGTAAGTTGTTCCCCAGAGCAAGCAAACTCGTGGCTATATTGTTGTTGACAGCGTATGTGTAGTTGCTATTAACAAGCAGAATGTACTGTGATAAACCGTTTATTTATTGACAATAACATTTTCATATATTGTGGTAAACGTATCAGCCAGTGCTTGTTCAGTTACGCCCCAGGTGCTCAGATGAGCTCATGGTTCATGTTTTTGTGACAGCATCGCATGTGCATGTTAACAAGTTGATCTGTCTGTTATCTATAGACCTTTACAGAGGTAGCCAGGGGTTAAGTGTGTGGAGTTGGGGTCAATAAAAAAATCAGAAACCCTCCTATATTTAATGTATCGTTTAGCTAGAGCTCTTATTTAACAGCTTGGATGTTTGAAAGTTTTGTTGTTCTGTGAGAATGTAAATTCTGTACTGATAAAGAAATAGTTCACTTAAAAATAGGGCTGCACGATTAATCGCATGCGATATTTAACGCGCATCTTATCAGTAAAGCCGGTTCTGTAATCAGCGGTAAATCTCCATCACCTGCGTGCTTTCACATTGAGCAGCATTAAAAAAATGAAAATTTGCTAAAAAATGTAATCACCTTCAAGCCATCCACGATGTAGATGATTTTTTTTCTTTCATTGGATCAGATTTGAAGAAATTTAGCATTGTGTCTCTTGCTCGCCAGTGGATCCTCTATACCAGGGGTATTCCTGGAGGGCCGGAGCCCTGCAGAGTTTAGATTCAACCCTAATTAAACACACCTGATCAAACTAATCAAGTCCTTCAGGCTTATTTGAAAACTACATGGTATGTGTGTTGGAGCAGGGTTGGAACAAAACTCTGCAGGGCTACGGCCCTCCAGAAATTGAGTTTGACAATCCTGCTCTATACAGTGAATGGGTGCCGCCAGAATGAGAGTTCAAAAAGCTGATAAATGCATCACAATAATCCACAAGTAATTCACACGACTCCAGTTAAGTGAAAAGCTGCATGTTAGTAATTAACAGATTAATCATTAAAACTTCAAATTGTTGCTTCCAGCTTAAATACAAGTCGTCCATCCATAATATTACTTTCTTCAGTGAAAAGGTTGTCTATTCTGAATCAGGAGAGAAATATGCACTGATCAAGCACCATTTACAAGTGAAAACCGTTTTAAATTGTGATGTAAGAGCACAACAGGAGATGGCACTACAGGGGATTCATTGATATGCATGTGGTGTAATGCTAAATGTCATTTCTTAGTCAGCCTGATTGTTTCTGCTGTGCTTTCTGTGCTTTTTCACTTCTGATTTATCAGCTTTGTTTGTTGAGAGTTGTCTGATCATCGTATCTTCCAGAACTTCCAGAAAAGAGCAAGTGGAAACTTGTAATCATGACTAAATGTTGACAGCACATCAATTCGGTACATTCATCTGTCTAAATAAATGTGCTCAACGTATGAGAGATACAGCCTCATAAGCTTACAAAATTGCAAAATAGAATTGAGTAACTATAAAAAGCTAATTTTAGTTCTTAACTGATTACTTGGCATGGATTAAAATAATCTTAAATTACTTCCAATAGTTATACCCATCTGAAAATAATTGCATTTTCACAGAGAGTATGACCTCACAACTATTTTATCATAGTACATTGTAAATCTCACAGAAATAAAAAAAAAAAAATAATAAAAAAATCAAACGGCCTGATCCTAGGCCGGAATATGGCTAATCTTTTTTTAGATTGCTAACAAATCAGTCACAAAGTTGAAATAAAGAGTACCACAAGGCATACAAATCTTTGATTCAGTGCTGTTTTTTTATACTAAGATCTTAGGTTGAGAGGCAACTGTGATTGTGTGTTTTTTTAAAAAATCTGAGAATCTCTTCACATGCATTTCTCCTTATTCCAGTGTTTTACATAGTATCCTGTTAGTGAAGGCTGGAAACAGATCTCTTGTCCTGGAATTTGTCTTGTTAGGGTGTGTAGTTTGTAGCCTATGTGGTTGGTGAGTGCTTTTGTATTGTTGCAGTGATCTGCCACCCCACAGGTGTATTCCAACAGCTCTGTAGAAACAGGTTGGACAGGCCTGTTGCCCTATGACAGTTTGTTGAGGAAAGGACTATATACACCATTCAACCATTTTTAGATTCAATAAGAACTTCAGAGAATGCTTTTGTGTTTCCAAATACCTTGAACCATAGGAATCTTAATTCCAAGACTTTAACAGATGAATAAGCCGGACTGTTTTTCTGGTTGGCTGCTCAGTCAGGGTTCCAGATTGATTGATTTGTATGAGAAATCTGGCCCTTGTATCAGTCTATCTGTCATAACATTTATCCTTGTCTTGATAAGTAAGCTTCGTAACATTTTTCCATGTCTGTCTTCTTACAAGTTGACAAATGTGGACGTTGTGCGGTTTCCTTACGGTGTCTTGATCACAGAAGTGCGAGTTATTCCCCCTGGCATCAAAGCACACAGCAACTTGCCTGACAGCAGAGCATTTGGGTGAGGAAACACTCACACACACACACACACACACTCAGTGTCTTGTCTAAAAGTACAGCGAGAAATCAAATGGTCTCTAAAGAATCGCACAACTACTACTGAATCCCGCTACATAGACACTATGTATTGGTATGTGCCATCCACATTACATAACCATTCTTGGGTTAGGATGGTTCACTGGTCATCCAACAACCAACTAGTCATTTAGAGAAGGCAGCTTTTTATTTCTAGCAGTTTATATTTTTTAGTGCCATTTTTTTTTTTTTGTATATTTTTAGTGCTGTTTTCAGAATTCTTTAAAAATAGAAGGTTAAAATGAACAGAATTAATTTGAGTTAAAAAATATTTTATAACATTATAAATGTCTTCACTGTCACTTTTGAACAATTTAATGCATCCTTGCTGAGTAAAAGTATTAATTTCTTTCAAACAAAAAAAACTTTTCAAACTGTAGTGTATATATCACATTCAGACTACCCACTGATTGAAAAGATGTCATTTTGTGCATCCCTAATTTTCACTACACATTTTATGACAGTTAACAGCGCTTCTACAATGTTTAAAGTGTGTACAACCTGTCCTAGTGCTTCTGTTGTGCACAATAGGACATGAGTAATACTGTGGTATCCTCAGTGAAGTGGCTGGAGGACATTTGAGGAAATTGGAAAAGGTTTCTGTGGTCGCTATTGTTCCTTCTTTAAAAACAGATCCACCACACCCCCTATTCTCTGACCACTCTCAGCTTTTCCCATGATCTCATCCCTCATCCTTCTTGTCTCCATACCTGTTAAGAGAACAATGAGAGAAAAGGGAAGTTTGTTTTTATAGGACAGACTATATAAAACTATTTTTCATTCTATCCTTTTAAAATTATCATGTTGAATATTTAACAATAAATTTGTACTGAAAAAGAGGGATATTTAAAACGATTCCTGCAGGCTAACCGATTTACATGAAATTTGATTAGACCAAAAGTGGCTGCTGATGGCAAATAGGGGTTTCAGGTTTGAATTTTGACGGTTACAATGCCCCTTCCTGTGAATCTTCAGGGAAACGGCCCCTCACGCATTCCAGTTGGACCTGTTCTTCAACAATGTGTCCAAACCCAACGCCCCGGTGTTTGACAGGCTGGGCAGGTACTAAAGAAACTCACACATACACACACATACGCATGCACACCTGTGTTGGACAGGCTCAACGAGAAATACAGTGCGCTGTCTCACAAATCTATAGCTGAATAGATGCATGTACTCTTTTGATTGTTTAAATCACTGATGTTGGTGTTTGTTTCACACTAGCCTTGAGTACGATGAGAACAAATCAATCATCTTCAGGCCTAACGGGAAGGTAAGAGACCCCCTTGTTTCAGCCCAGCATCATATTTCTGTGTAAAGCTCACACATATGCACCAATATGTTTGTGGTTTCTCCAAAACTGCTGACAGCAGCTTTACTCAGCTCTATGAATACTTGAAAAGCATTTTCCCAAATCCACAATGTATTTTCACATGCCTCTGCAATGACTAAAACTGTCAGCTCCTGCACTCACGTGACTTGTAAACAAATCAGCCTTCATTTGTTTTGGACTGAGTGAGTTTTCTGCTCCTCCCCTCTCAGAGTCTCAGGCCATGTCCTAATTTTAATTTTGTCTTTGTGTTATTGAAGATAAACACAGATGGGTTGGTCCTGCGTGGATGGTACACATGCCTGACGTTGGCAGTGTATGGCACAGCAGAGCGCCCCCACAGCCACGAGCGGGACTCTCCGCCACCTCCTCCTCCCCCTCTGCCCCAACAGCAGCAGCTGGGATCCAAGAGGATCATTAAGCCTGGTCAGCACAAACATTATATACACAAATATATAATGTTATGTCATGTGAAACATTAAATGCGAGTGCGTCAATCTATTGCAGAGTGGGAGAATGAAGAACAGTTTAACGGCAGCCCACCCAGACCACAACCCAGAGGGCCACGGACCCCACCAGGACCACCACCTCCAGACGATGATGACGAGGAGGCACTACCTGCACCTGGTCAATGTATGTCTGTGTGGAAAAGATTAAGTATTATATATAGTTTTCCTTATTTAATTAAAAACCATATATTCAAATATTATTAGCATAATAATTTGAGAGAAATTAAAAATTGTAATTTTCAGAGAATCTTATTATTTATTAATTTGTCACAATATTTATTTTAATATTGTTTAAATAATGGAACAAAACTCTGCAGGGCTACGGCCCTCCAGAAATTGAGTTTGACAATCCTGCTCTATACAGTGAATGGGTGCCGCCAGAATGAGAGTTCAAAAAGCTGATAAATGCATCACAATAATCCACAAGTAATTCACACGACTCCAGTTAAGTGAAAAGCTGCATGTTAGTAATTAACAGATTAATCATTAAAACTTCAAATTGTTGCTTCCAGCTTAAATACAAGTCGTCCATCCATAATATTACTTTCTTCAGTGAAAAGGTTGTCTATTCTGAATCAGGAGAGAAATATGCACTGATCAAGCACCATTTACAAGTGAAAACCGTTTTAAATTGTGATGTAAGAGCACAACAGGAGATGGCACTACAGGGGATTCATTGATATGCATGTGGTGTAATGCTAAATGTCATTTCTTAGTCAGCCTGATTGTTTCTGCTGTGCTTTTCATGATCAGTCACTTCTGATTTATCAGCTTTGTTTGTTGAGAGTTGTCTGATCATCGTATCTTCCAGAAATTTAGCTCAAGAGCAAGTGGAAACTTGTAATCATGACTAAATGTTGACAGCACATCAATTCGGTACATTCATCTGTCTAAATAAATGTGCTCAACGTATGAGAGATACAGCCTCATAAGCTTACAAAATTGCAAAATAGAATTGAGTAACTATAAAAAGCTAATTTTAGTTCTTAACTGATTACTTGGCATGGATTAAAATAATCTTAAATTACTTCCAATAGTTATACCCATCTGAAAATAATTGCATTTTCACAGAGAGTATGACCTCACAACTATTTTATCATAGTACATTGTAAATCTCACAGAAATAAAAAAAAAAAAATAATAAAAAAATCAAACGGCCTGATCCTAGGCCGGAATATGGCTAATCTTTTTTTAGATTGCTAACAAATCAGTCACAAAGTTGAAATAAAGAGTACCACAAGGCATACAAATCTTTGATTCAGTGCTGTTTTTTTATACTAAGATCTTAGGTTGAGAGGCAACTGTGATTGTGTGTTTTTTTAAAAAATCTGAGAATCTCTTCACATGCATTTCTCCTTATTCCAGTGTTTTACATAGTATCCTGTTAGTGAAGGCTGGAAACAGATCTCTTGTCCTGGAATTTGTCTTGTTAGGGTGTGTAGTTTGTAGCCTATGTGGTTGGTGAGTGCTTTTGTATTGTTGCAGTGATCTGCCACCCCACAGGTGTATTCCAACAGCTCTGTAGAAACAGGTTGGACAGGCCTGTTGCCCTATGACAGTTTGTTGAGGAAAGGACTATATACACCATTCAACCATTTTTAGATTCAATAAGAACTTCAGAGAATGCTTTTGTGTTTCCAAATACCTTGAACCATAGGAATCTTAATTCCAAGACTTTAACAGATGAATAAGCCGGACTGTTTTTCTGGTTGGCTGCTCAGTCAGGGTTCCAGATTGATTGATTTGTATGAGAAATCTGGCCCTTGTATCAGTCTGTCTGTGATAACATTTATTCTTGTCTTGATAAGTAAGCTTCGTAACATTTTTCTGTGTCTGTCTTCTTACAAGTTGACAAATGTGGATGTTGTGCGGTTTCCTTACGGTGTCTTGATCACAGAAGTGCGAGTTATTCCCCCTGGCATCAAAGCACACAGCAACTTGCCTGACAGCAGAGCATTTGGGTGAGGAAACACTCACACACACACACACACACACTCAGTGTCTTGTCTAAAAGTACAGCGAGAAATCAAATGGTCTCTAAAGAATCGCACAACTACTACTGAATCCCGCTACATAGACACTATGTATTGGTATGTGCCATCCACATTACATAACCATTCTTGGGTTAGGATGGTTCACTGGTCATCCAACAACCAACTAGTCATTTAGAGAAGGCAGCTTTTTATTTCTAGCAGTTTATATTTTTTAGTGCCATTTTTTTTTTTTTGTATATTTTTAGTGCTGTTTTCAGAATTCTTTAAAAATAGAAGGTTAAAATGAACAGAATTAATTTGAGTTAAAAAATATTTTATAACATTATAAATGTCTTCACTGTCACTTTTGAACAATTTAATGCATCCTTGCTGAGTAAAAGTATTAATTTCTTTCAAACAAAAAAAACTTTTCAAACTGTAGTGTATATATCACATTCAGACTACCCACTGATTGAAAAGATGTCATTTTGTGCATCCCTAATTTTCACTACACATTTTATGACAGTTAACAGCGCTTCTACAATGTTTAAAGTGTGTACAACCTGTCCTAGTGCTTCTGTTGTGCACAATAGGACATGAGTAATACTGTGGTATCCTCAGTGAAGTGGCTGGAGGACATTTGAGGAAATTGGAAAAGGTTTCTGTGGTCGCTATTGTTCCTTCTTTAAAAACAGATCCACCACACCCCCTATTCTCTGACCACTCTCAGCTTTTCCCATGATCTCATCCCTCATCCTTCTTGTCTCCATACCTGTTAAGAGAACAATGAGAGAAAAGGGAAGTTTGTTTTTATAGGACAGACTATATAAAACTATTTTTCATTCTATCCTTTTAAAATTATCATGTTGAATATTTAACAATAAATTTGTACTGAAAAAGAGGGATATTTAAAACGATTCCTGCAGGCTAACCGATTTACATGAAATTTGATTAGACCAAAAGTGGCTGCTGATGGCAAATAGGGGTTTCAGGTTTGAATTTTGACGGTTACAATGCCCCTTCCTGTGAATCTTCAGGGAAACGGCCCCTCACGCATTCCAGTTGGACCTGTTCTTCAACAATGTGTCCAAACCCAACGCCCCGGTGTTTGACAGGCTGGGCAGGTACTAAAGAAACTCACACATACACACACATACGCATGCACACCTGTGTTGGACAGGCTCAACGAGAAATACAGTGCGCTGTCTCACAAATCTATAGCTGAATAGATGCATGTACTCTTTTGATTGTTTAAATCACTGATGTTGGTGTTTGTTTCACACTAGCCTTGAGTACGATGAGAACAAATCAATCATCTTCAGGCCTAACGGGAAGGTAAGAGACCCCCTTGTTTCAGCCCAGCATCATATTTCTGTGTAAAGCTCACACATATGCACCAATATGTTTGTGGTTTCTCCAAAACTGCTGACAGCAGCTTTACTCAGCTCTATGAATACTTGAAAAGCATTTTCCCAAATCCACAATGTATTTTCACATGCCTCTGCAATGACTAAAACTGTCAGCTCCTGCACTCACGTGACTTGTAAACAAATCAGCCTTCATTTGTTTTGGACTGAGTGAGTTTTCTGCTCCTCCCCTCTCAGAGTCTCAGGCCATGTCCTAATTTTAATTTTGTCTTTGTGTTATTGAAGATAAACACAGATGGGTTGGTCCTGCGTGGATGGTACACATGCCTGACGTTGGCAGTGTATGGCACAGCAGAGCGCCCCCACAGCCACGAGCGGGACTCTCCGCCACCTCCTCCTCCCCCTCTGCCCCAACAGCAGCAGCTGGGATCCAAGAGGATCATTAAGCCTGGTCAGCACAAACATTATATACACAAATATATAATGTTATGTCATGTGAAACATTAAATGCGAGTGCGTCAATCTATTGCAGAGTGGGAGAATGAAGAACAGTTTAACGGCAGCCCACCCAGACCACAACCCAGAGGGCCACGGACCCCACCAGGACCACCACCTCCAGACGATGATGACGAGGAGGCACTACCTGCACCTGGTCAATGTATGTCTGTGTGGAAAAGATTAAGTATTATATATAGTTTTCCTTATTTAATTAAAAACCATATATTCAAATATTATTAGCATAATAATTTGAGAGAAATTAAAAATTGTAATTTTCAGAGAATCTTATTATTTATTAATTTGTCACAATATTTATTTTAATATTGTTTAAATAATTCCAGTTTTTCAATGCGACCTCAATTATATATTATTTAGCATTAATTATTATTATTATTAAATTTATTATTGCATTTCTTAAACTGAAAAAGTAGTTCCAAGCACTGTATTGTAACGTCGCTGTATTGTCTGTGCTTTAGGTCTAGTAAAGGTGGAGAACACAGAAAAAGGTGATGATTACCTGGAGCCTGTCTCACCTGAACGAGGGTCTCTTCCTGCTGATGAGAATTTCTCGGACGCAGAGGAGGAGGATGACGAGGGTCCGGCTGATGATGAGGAGGATGAGGATGTGCAGTCCGAGGGAAGCGAGGGCGTGGAAGATGATGAAGAAGATGAAGTGGGTGATGAAGTGACGGATGAAGATGGAGAAGGTGAGGAGTTGCAGTGCTGTGAGGGTGAATAAACCAGGTGCTCTGGGAAAAAAATATTATTTATTTACTTATTTTTACTTATCCATGCGGATACGTTGTTTTCATTCAGATCAAATCACAGCAACGTAGGAAACATATCCGGTGTGACGCAGCTGACACAGAACAGCATACGCTGTTTACGTCCAGCGGATATAATCCAAAATGGCGCTAGGGTAACACGGAGGCTGAAGAGTGCGAGCCCTCACACGTCACACGCGCTGTGAGAAGTACAAACTGAACGGATTGTCAATACATCCCACCGCTGTATGGCTAGATGAGACGCAAACGTTTTCTCGACTGGATAACCAGTCTCGCTAGTAAGGTTTTGATGAATGAAGACTGCAATCAAGGTTAAGACGATTGCGGTGGCGTACAGGAGTCGTACAGTAAGCACGCGTGAGTCCGTTATAATAATGCGTGTATGAGTATTTATGCACAGGCACAGACATCTCCGTACATTCACGTTGTTTCCACACACATTCACGATAATGTTTTGATTTGTCATGTTTATGTTGCTGTTTAGTTATACTGAATGGATCCGTGTACTGTAGTAGATATATGCAGTCAACAAGCAGTTGGTTTAGGATTTTTTTGGCATCTCCATGTCAGGGTTCGTACGGTCATGAAAAACCTGGAAAAGTCATGGAATTTTAAAACACCAATTTCCAGGCCTGGAAAAGTTTTGGAAAAATAAATAAACCCAGAAAGTTTTGGAAAAGTCATTGAAATCTATTTCACAAAACTCTGTATAATAGAATTGTGTTTAATCAGGTCCTGAATTTCGGTGCGGGATTGCGCATAGGCTATATCGCATAGTTTTACTCATTCCCGCAGCTTTTGACTTTAAAATGATGGATATTCACACATTTATTCAATAGCCTATAGCATGTAGGTTTGATGAGTAAATAATCAAACCTACAGACTGAGTCCAGTCCACACAGACTGATCAAATCAGTCATTTGAAAACAGCGTGAGTGATTCAGCTGTACGCGTCTTCTCCCTTTGACTTTCTCTTCAAACGGCTTCACATCGGCACATCTTGTCTGCGCTACAAGAGCCGCTGCACGCTGCGATACAAGACTTTCACTCGCATTTCGGGACAGTTGACAGAATTGTCACTTGCCTAATCGGGTCATTGTTGCATCGTCAGAAAATTGTATTATTTATAGATTAAAAATGTTAATCTATTGACAGCCCTAATATTCTCATATAGGGTAAACAATTGCCATTTGCAAATATTGGCCCTTAATGAAAAGAGAAAATCAACAAAAGAACCAATGTAGTCTTGTTTATACTCTGATTTGCAAAGACGCCCAACTTAATTAAACATTTCAACAGAGTTTGAGGTCAAGACTGAACTTGCTTGATTTGCTGAGCCAGTAACAATGTATCAGATGTTCTGTTTTCTGTGTGTGAAGTGTTCTGTTTTTATATGCAGGTGATGATGGATATGAGCAGATATCCAGTGATGAGGAGGATTTGGAGAGTGGGGCTTTCAAGCTGCCTGCCTTTGACCTGGACTATACATCTGAGGATCTTGCATCACTACCGACTGTTCAGTATGATCCATACGAGCGTGAACTCCGACCCCTCCAGCACTTCACGCCTCCACACATCACCCGCTATAATGCGGAGCTAAAACACCTTAAAACGGTAGACATCCAGGACTCAAGCTCCGTGTGGGCGGAGTCTGCAGCTAAACTCTCAGAACTGTTGGATGCTTGGGGAGAGGGGCAGGGGGCAGAGCGAGGGGCAGGCTGGGTAACTGCCTTAGAGGAGATCCCTGCCTTTCTACTAAAAGGGATGAGCTTCCTGTCTATTAAGGACCCTGATGGGCTTTGTGAGAAGTTGAAGCAGTTGGTCGACTGGAGCTGTGAAGCTGTTAATTTGGACTTTGCCCTGGCACAGCCCATAGCGCTGAACTTACGCCAGCTCAAAGCTGGAACCAAACTGGCCTCTGCCTTGGCCGACTGTGGTGCCCAGGCTGTGCAGAATCTGCTGGAGAAAGGGATTGTTGGCAGCCTCCTAGGCTTGCTGTTTGCAGAACACGTTTCATCCACTCTGAAACTCAACGTGCTGCGTTCCCTCGACAGCATCATCAGTGAGCCACAGGGTATCGAGGCCCTGCTCAGAGACCGTCACCATGACAATGATGGAAAAAGTGGGTACCAGCGTCTGCTGGATTTGTTTCTATTGGACCAGACTGTGCGTGTCGCAACAGCAGGCGCAGCCATTTTACATAAGGGACATTTTTATGAGGTTTTGACTGACCTGCAGAGGACAGCCAGCATTTGGGCTGAAAGCCATTCCACAGTGGGGGAGGTTGGTGAGCGAGAGGGTAGTGAGAGCGAGAGAGAACGAGAAAGCAATGAGAGGGAAGGAAATGAGAGAGAGAGGGAAACCCATGAGGTAGAGCGGGAAAGCCCAGTGGACATTGCTGGAATCTTGCTGGAATCTGCCTCTTTGTCAGAAGGTGACCTGGAAAGGCTGCAAGGTCTCCTGGAAGAACTGCTCCACCTGCTGGAGACAGCACCTCACTGTATGGTACAGCCTCCTGGGAAAGCTTTTCCCACCAATGCCCGGATCACTGGGCCACCAGAACGCGATGATCCCTATCCAACATTGTACAGGTCAGTACCATATGGCTACAAAACTGATGCCTTGTTTAGTCAACATGTTTTTGACATAAGAAGCTTTTTTCCCCAGTCATAATCCTATATACACTGATGGATCAAAAATCGATAACCATGTATCTGCAGCAATAGTAAGTGGTCATCAACATTACGGCTTTCGTATCCCAGACTACTGTTCCATCTTTACAGCAGAAGCCCAAGCGCTATTACTTGCTCCGGATCATATTGAAAATGTAAATAAAGAAACTTCATAGTGTTCACTGACTCAAAATCCTGTTTGCAAGCACTGGAGTCTTTGAAAACAAGTCATCCAATAATTGTTGACATATTCATCAAAGCAAATCAGTTGCGGAGACTCAATTATGACATTTTTTCTGCTGGATTCCAGGACGTAGTGGAATTATTGGAAACAAACAAGCTGCAAAACAATCTCTTACAGATAATGTAAATGAATGCCAAATCCCGCCTTCTGATGTGAAGCCAGTAATCAACAGATACATATTGGAGAAATGGCAAGTAGAATGGAAAGAATGTCAAAATAACAAACTTTTTAAAATAAATTCAGTTGTAGGAAAAATATATATTTATTCTTTTAAATCCAAGCATGACATACGTATTGGACATACTACTGTAGATGAACTCATGGACATTTATTGATAGGTGAAGAAGAACCAAAATGTCAATATTGCAGGACTCACTTGATGGTGAAACATGTGCCTTTGGTCTGCCCAATATTTAATGTCATGAGATATTATTATCAGGGCACCTCACTGTATGGTACAGCCTCCTGGGAAAGCTTTTCCCACCAATGCCCGGATCACTGGGCCACCAGAACGCGATGATCCCTATCCAACATTGTACAGGTCAGTACCATATGGCTACAAAACTGATGCCTTGTTTATTTGCGATGACAATTTGTGGTTCCTATTATGTATGGTCAATATTAATTAATATTTAGTTTAAATATAATAATTTTTAATATATCAGTTGTCAATGTGGAGGACTGTATTATAGAAGAACTATATATATATATTAGTAAAGTTATTATATGGAGATCTATATTATTTACCCTTTTTGTTCAAATATTTAGCATCTCTTTAATTATTGCATTTTATTTTTTTACAGATACATGCATGCTTGTCACCTTCTGGAATCCCTGGCAGTTGTCCTGTCGTATCCGGCTACATGTGCCAACATCGGAGTCCTGCAGGCTCTCAGAGAACTGATGCGTTTCCTGTCACAGTCTCAGCAGGGTCTCCTCTTTCTCCTTAGCCAACACGAAACCACCAATTTGCTGCTTCGTCTCCTCACACCCCTTACTCACCTGACTCCACCCTCTCACTTGGCTCCGCTGACGCCCCTTTCAGAGGGTGAGGGTGAAGATACTCCTGCCGGTGGAGAGGGTTATGTGAAGCCAGTAATCAACAGATACATATTGGAGAAATGGCAAGTAGAATGGAAAGAATGTCAAAATAACAAACTTTTTAAAATAAATTCAGTTGTAGGAAAAATATATATTTATTCTTTTAAATCCAAGCATGACATACGTATTGGACATACTACTGTAGATGAACTCATGGACATTTATTGATAGGTGAAGAAGAACCAAAATGTCAATATTGCAGGACTCACTTGATGGTGAAACATGTGCCTTTGGTCTGCCCAATATTTAATGTCATGAGATATTATTATCAGGACAAAGTCTTAAGGACTTGTTTTATAAGATGGACCCAGAATAACTTTTACAATTTCTTTCTAAAGTAAATTTAAAGAATCTTTTGTAGAATTTGATGTGCAATACCTTGATTTATAATTGATTTTTTTTTGTATTGTATTTTGTACTACTATATTGTTTTTCTAATGTATAATCTTTGCCATGAAATAGCCTCCTGTCGTATCCGGCTACATGTGCCAACATCGGAGTCCTGCAGGCTCTCAGAGAACTGATGCGTTTCCTGTCACAGTCTCAGCAGGGTCTCCTCTTTCTCCTTAGCCAACACGAAACCACCAATTTGCTGCTTCGTCTCCTCACACCCCTTACTCACCTGACTCCACCCTCTCACTTGGCTCCGCTGACGCCCCTTTCAGAGGGTGAGGGTGAAGATACTCCTGCCGGTGGAGAGGGTTCCATGGATGATGGTTTTTGGGTGTGGCTTATGCAGACTCTACATGCACTCCAGGGTGTTGCTGAGCTGAACGGGGCAGAACTTGAAGATGGCGATAATCCAGATGTTTTGGCAACCCTTTACAGCCTGTATCTCATTAGCTTTAGCAGCACAGGCCGAAATGCTGTCGCGCATGCTTTTAGCTTGGATAATAACCTCAGCTGTCTGGTCAACCTGGTAGAGTTCCATGCCAAAGAGGGCCAAGGGTGAGAATATGCTAATACACCTGTTGTACATAAACAGGGTTTTAAAAATGTCTGATCTGTCAGAGAGTATATTTTGACAATCTATTTAATGGCAAATAAGAATATTATAGAATTTGTGTCGAATGTTTCTTGACACCATGTAGATAGGATGTTAGTAAATGCAAATTGGCCAAATATAGAACCCTGAGGCGCTCCATAGTCATTTTCATTTAAATGTACTCTATGTTCTTAAATGACTTGTTCTCTCTCTCTCGTTCTCTTGCGGTCTTCCTCTCACTCTCTCTTACAGGGAAGGAAAAGCAAGGAAGTCTGTTACATATAACTATGCCTGTATGCTTGTACTGCTGGTGATTCAGACGTCAGGTGATCTCCGGATGATGGAGCACTATGCTGCTCCATTACTTAATGTTTGCAAAGCTGATGAAAACAATGCCAAGCTTCAAGGTTAGCCTACTATTCTTTTGCAGCCCACCAAACACTTCAATCTCAGCCAAACCACCAGTCCTATGATCTATTAAGAAGCAAGTTTTTTTTCCAAGGCCTTAAAAGCCATTTTATAATTTTTGTAAACGTAAGTGCTTTCACATCTGACCTCTATGATTAAATGTGTTTTTCAGAGCTGTCTAAGTGGTTGGAGCCACTTGAAAAATTGCATTTTGATATCAGTGGCATTCCTACGCTTATTGACTGCATAAAGCAGGTGAGGTTATCAACCACATAACCACATTTTAGAGGGTTTAAGATTACAGAGGATAAGTTACAACATGTATGCCTTTTGTGTTAGGCATTGATCAAGAAATTAGGTCACTGATGGTTCAAGTTTCAACAAGAATAAGAACCCACTTTGATGATCTCTTACAGTTAGCTATAAAACAAAACACTCATATGCTCAAAACCCAAGGATTGTGACTTGCCTAAGGAGCTTTCAGGACCTCTCCAGTACAAAGCCTATACACAGAAGCAAATGAAACCTCTCTTCAGTTCAGACGCTTGAAATTATTACTTCAATATGCAATTAAGATAAAGACAAATTTACACAATCCAGCTTATAATTCTGTCTTTACCCCACAATATATGCATCTATATGAAGCCAGACCTAGCTATATTACACCCTTTGGAATGCGAATCAGACCACATATAAAAAAAATTTGGCCATAAAAACCTTGACCTCCTAAACCAGAATCTCCTTTGTCCAGTTCCACCTTGGAGTATGAAAAAGTTATGTATCAATTTGGACTTGACCTGCAATAAGAAGAGTGAAACCTGCCCATATATATATATATATATATATATATATATCTCTTTCTAAAGCAAATGTTTACCTGATAACTGATAATAATTATTATATGAACCAAGCAGTTTGTTTGTGAAGTCTCAGTGATCACTATATTATTCAATAGAACACAGTTTATATAAAACAATACATTCCTGTCCCACGTGAAGCTGATGTGGCAATAAACTTAAATTAAACTGTAAACTGTATGCTCAAATGCCATTTTTGTAGGATTGGGTCACACCTTGATATAGACATCATGTATTATTATGGTGTTGCATCTAAGTTTTGCTGTTTCTTTTGTCAGAATCTGGAGAACTTGATGACAGCAGATGGGGTGGGTCTTGTAACTGCTCTCAGAGTATTGTGCCACGTTGCCTGCCCTCCAACTACTGTGCCAGGTACATGCAAACATACTATAAGCCTTACTTTTTAACTTTGCTTGTCTTAACTAGATACTAAACAGACAAAAAAGACAAATTAAATGTCAAAATATCAGATCTATCTAGCTATCTATCTAGGCTTTGCAGTATAAATGCACCTAACATTACTCACTGTTTATTATATTGTTAAAATTAATCCAACATAAATATTTACAAGAGAAATATATATTTTTTTCTTTATTTCTTGGTTCTTTACTATGTATTTATTTAATATAAATAAAACCTGTAATTTATGTTTTGAGAAAAATAAATTAAAGCTATTTTAAAATGTTAAAAAATATTTAAATGAATTAAAAAAAAAAGTTCAGTAGCATATTTGCTTTGCTGCATTCTCTCAAATTAGTACTGGTATCAACTGCTAAAAATTAGGGATGCACCAATACCACTTTTTCCAGTACTCGCCTGATACCGATACTTTTATTTTTGGTACTTGCTGATACCAATACTTGCCGAGTATCGATACCGATATTTTATTGCATTTGTAAATTTTTTAAATATTGGGTACAGAAACCAAGAGTATGTATAGTGTTAGTTGGTTAACCTCATTTATCAAATAGATAGTCAAACCAAAATATATTCAGACACCTTCAACATTTCTCACATTATCACAGTTTATTCGCTATAGTTTAGAAAATGGTAATAACATATGACAAGAACTCAGAGTTAAACTGTCAGAACAAATTCAGCTTGATAATATTAGATAACTTTGATAGAAAGGTATGTAATGGATTACAATCAACCAAAAATTATTCAGACAGCTGTTAGTATGACAGTATTTACACAACTATCAATACTTAGTCGGGCAACCCTTAGGCTTAATGACAGCCTGTAGTCTCCTGGGGCTGGTTGCACCAGCTAGACGTAAAAAAAGTTGGGTGTAAGCCCCATGCTGGGCTCTGCGACGTCCAGCTTTATGATAAATATTTATACCTGTTGCACCAACTGAAACTACGATCATGCACAACTACGCCCGGCGTATACAATGCGCGTCCATGCCAGCACATTCTCCCGCAGTTATAGATATAGCTGAGACGACGTTCACGCCGCAATGGCTACAAAGCGTTTTTATATCTGAAGTCTCCCTGCACACTCCCATGGCAGATTTAATCAAGGTTAAGTAAAATATAATAAATGTAATACAATGCCTCTCTCTAGAGTTATTATTTTATAGCTGACTATCAAGTTTATGTACAATGAATGTCTTTCCTGAGGTATATGTGACTTTACGTGACATTTTGTGTTTTACTGGCGTCTTAAAAAAAACACGTTTATAGTTTGTATTTTGTGATAAAATTGACAGAATTTGAAAGCTGATCATTTATTTCTGATTAAAAGTAATAAAGCACAAAACTTATTGCGATTATTGAATGGCAGGCACGCTACAAATAATGAATGGAATTAAAGACGTGAAATATTTCCAAGCATTTACACTGTCCTTCCAAGCAAGATGTCAAATAGTTTCTTTTAATAATCCCAGTTCATATGTAATGTTTTACTGCATAATTATTACATGCTGTACAGAAATATATTTTGTATTCAATTACTGTCGGCAGTGTGGTAGGCTATAGTCTACACCGAGCTTCGTGATTGATATCACTTATCCTGCCCGAAAAGACCATAAACATTACAGTTCACGTCTGCAGTAATAATTAACTAACAGACACGAATCCTAAAAACCAGGCACGCTACAAATAATGAATGGAATTAAAGACGTGAAATATTTCCAAGCATTTACACTGTCCTTCCAAGCAAGATGTCAAATAGTTTCTTTTAATAATCCCAGTTCATATGTAATATTTTACTGCATAATTACATGCTTGACAGAAATATATTTTGTATTCAATGTTGACAGTGTGGTAGCCTACACTGAGCTTCGCGATTGATATCGCTTATCCTGCCCGAAAAGACCATAAACATTACAGTTCACGTCTGCAGTAATAATTAACTAACAGACATGAATCCTAAAAACGAATAATGTCAGAGAAAATCATGACTTTTCACTTTACACCTACCTCTGACTAGGTGTAAGATTTAGTCTCAGACGTAGTACTACGCCGAGATGGTGCAACGGGTATAAATTCTACACACGACTTAAAGCGCATTTTACGTCCAGCCTAGTCTTACAACCGGGTGTACGTCCAGCTGGTGCGACCGGCCCCTGGGCATGCTGTCATCTAGGTTCATGCAAACCTGAACTTCCATTTTTTTCCCAGACTCAGTCTGAATAATTTTTGGTCCCAAATTTGTATCAGTTTTTTTGGGGGTATAAAAATTCAGACTACTGAATTTTTGGGTATAATTTGTCACAGTTTACTTTATTTTGCTATCCTCACTTACATAAATGAACTTTAGTGTCCTGCACCCACTAGTAAAAAAAATATATAAAAAATTATATCTGGTGCCTGAATAATTTTTAGTTTGACAATATAATATAATAATTATTACTATAGTGAACTATAGTGTCCTGCACCCACTAGTCAAAAATTATATCTGGTCTCTGAATAATTGTTGCTTTGACTGTATATCCTTCAGTTATTTTCACACTTAATTATGCCCATTAAAATGTATTTTACAAGTTTTTGTTACTTTCACTGTTGCAGCGGCTTAGTACTGTAATCATGCGCTTTCCTGTAATAATGCAGGGAACCCCTCATTATAAATCCCCTAACTGTGATATTTTCAGAAATAGAAGTCCCTACTAAAAACTATTGATTATTACCAATAAAAATATTAGCTTATGTGTCCTGACATGACTCATTGTGTATCTGCAGGTCAGCAGAAGGACTTGAAGTGGAACCAGGCCATCATAGCCCTCTTCAGTGCAGAGGGCATGGACACGTTTATTAAAGTCCTCCAGAAGCTTACATCACTACTGCTGCTGCCATGGCGACTACATGGTCCAATGATGAGGGACTTGTTGATGCAGAGACTCATGATGCTGTCAGTGGCTTCCTGCTCGCTGAGACTCATCCAAGCCATGCTGAAAGAGCTGCTGTGCGGGGGAACCTGTGAGTTTCGTGACGTGCGTGTGCCCTCCGTCTGTGTCGCCCTTCACAAGATCCTTTGCTCCACCCCAACAACCGGTCGGCTGGATGCAGAGGAGCTGCGTATTCAGGGAGACGTGACTGAGATGCTGTTAACATTCACACATGCAGTTAGTGAACAGGAGACGGGTTCAGAGGAGACTGTGGCTGGAAACAGCTGGTCTCTGATGTTGAAGGAAGTGCTGAACTCTATACTGGCTGCTCCAGAGAACATCTACAGCAGCCTTAGTCTGCTGTCAGAACTGCTTCCTCTACCTCTGCCCATGCAGACCACTCAGGTACTGAACACACATATGCGGCTACAAGTACCTGTCGCTGCTTGCCGCTGATTATCCCACATACAGGAGCTCTGATCCAAACCCTTGTGAGCTGCCTGACTAGACAATTTTAGACAAAACTACTAACATGAGGATGGTTTCAAAACGTAGGCAGCAAATGTATGCGTCTATAACTGTTTTGTTAATTAACAAAAAATATTTATAGAAAATAGTTTAATTTACTCTTTCCATCTCCCTCTTTCTCTCTTAGGCACTATCCGTGCAAGGCGTCGGGGTTGCAATGAACACACGAAAGTTGTGGAGTGTGCACTTACATGCTCAGGCTCAAGTATTACAGGAAGTGCTGAGGTGCGTATGTGTCAGCAGCTGTCCGCCGCTACTCTCCATGCTTCGCCGTGTGTGCATACAGCTCTGTGATCTTGCTGCACCCACTGCGACTCTGGTTATGAGGACATTGCTGGAGCAGCTGCAGGAGGAAATGCAACAGTAAGACACATTCATCACATTAAGGACAATTTGTTCATAGCTTGTGGATTTGTTTTAATAAGATTTCAAGAACAATTATATATTTATATTTATACACATAAACACACATTTGTGCAGTGATGCATTGCTGCCACACACACATAATTTTTTCCATTTAAAACAAAATTTTTTCGTAATAATGAGATGTTATTTTGGTAAAACGACATAATTATCTCATTAAAATGACATTTTCTCATAATAACGAGATTTTGTCATTAAAATGACATCTTTTTCTCGTTAAAATTACATTTTCTCATAATAATGAGGTATGTCGTTAAAACGACATAATTATCTCGTTTAAACAACAATTTTTCTCGTAATAACGACATATGTCATTAAAAGCATATGTTTTTCCCTTTATAGGAGATATTATATATCGTTACATTATGTGAACGAGGCTACATTCGATGAACTCTTATTCTGCGTGATGGGACAGAGAGTAAAGACAGGTTGAGTTGAAAAGTGGCATTTCAGGGCCGTCCATGCGTGTGAAACAAATAATAAAGCATGATCTCTTTTTTTTTTTTTTACCCACAAACAAAAAATTCGAAAAATCTAGCTTAATTTTCAGTTCTCAAACAAAACGAAATAATAATAATAATTAAACCATTTGTCATTTCTCTTTTCAAGTAGAAAATCAAATGACCAGAAATGCTCGTATTGCTTAGTGTTAAATCAGTCATTCAAATAAATAAATGTTCCAAGCCCAGAGTCAATTATTCAAAAATAACTAGTTTAATCTGATCATCTTAAACGAGTCATATCCTCCGAGTCTGAGTGCAATTATTGGATAGCATTATATTGTAGAAAGATTGGAGATTAATCCTACATGACGCTACAATAAAAACAATAACATTAAAATACATTTAAAACAGTGTAGGCTATTTCTATTATCCCTCCTGCAGTAACTTCAGCAGCGAGCAGATCCTCGTTTATCTCAAGACTGTGGCGAGGCGACACGCTCACATAATGTAACAATATTTTCTATAACGGGAAAACATAGAGTTTTTATGACATGTCATTATTATGAGAAAAAAAAAGTAATGTTAATGAGATAATTGTCGTTATAACAACGACAAAGAAACAACAAGAACAACAAAGAAAATATGTTGTTAAAATAACAACATTTCATTATTATAACATAACTGAGTGGAAAGAATATGTGTGGCAGCACACATTATAGCATGTTAGCATTTTTAAAAAGGACAAATATGTATACTTTTTTTTTGTACACGCACTCATATTTCTAATATAATTGTTATAAAAATTTTTATACAGTTATTTGTAGTTTATATTTTGGAATAGAATTACTTAAATATATGAAGTATTCTAAAAATTAAATTATATTATGTTAAATTTCGTAATTTTGGAATTGTAATTCGAATATGCTAAATGTGCTACATAACTGGCAGACTCCCTGTAGTACAGCTGTGGGCGTCTTGTTGGAAGACTCTTGCTTTTGGCTTCATTTGGGGGATTTTTTAGCTATATGCAGTTAATTAAATGACCAACATATAATTCAATAAAAAATTATAATCAGTTGATTAGGTGTAGTGATAACTGATTACGCCTAAATACGTTTAAATGGGTTAGTTTGACTGGTGTGTATTTTTCAGACAGCTCAAATGGACTGTTTGTTGTGTGCTTAGGGAGGCAGCTGGCTCACACTTGATAAGGTTACTAGCCCTCCTCGACTCGCTGGCATCTCAACGGGCTTGCAAATCAGCCATGTTGGCTCTACTGGGTGGATCTGCACGCAATGAGGGCCGCTGTGATGGGAAAGTGGAGGACAAACTGTCAGACCTTTTTCCCTCGCTGGTTGCCATGCTTGTCCTACCTGCAGATGCTGCGCTGTCAGCACAGCAGAACGCTGAATTGACAGCTTCCATCCTTCAGTCACTGTGTGACCAGGATGTGTCACTGGTTGTGAGCGGCTCGGGTGAAGCCTCAGTGTCTGAGGCAGAGCAGCTGGCCAACGCACTACCGACCAGAGACATGATGACGTGCATATGTGACGGGATGCTGGAAGTGTTAGGAAATACACACAGCAGCTACACGCTCCAGCTCACATGTCTGCGAACCATGATGTTTCTCACTGAGCACGACTACGGTCTCTATCACCTGAAAAGGTATCACAATGCGTTTGATGGCATTTTGCTTATTTAAGGGTGCACAGTGTATTTGTTTTTACATTTGTGTAAAATAATTTTTGAACACAGTTAAATGTAATCTTTTTTTAAATCCTATTTTTACTTTTAAATAATTTTTTAGCAGATAAATATAATCTTTTTTTTTTATTTTTTAATCTTAATCAATATCCATTTTATTTTACTTTACATTATAATATTAAGGCCTAAATTCACCTGTAGAATGTAAAATAATTTAGTTTATTTTTTAGTGTTTTATTTTTTATTTAGATAAAATATAGGAATTTCTATCTGTTGGTTAATCTGGATGCTCCAATAATTATCGGAGCATCCCTACCCTTCTTTACAGCAAAATGAAAGATTCTTGTGTTTGTGTTGCAGCTCTCTGAAGAGAAACAGCTCGGCCATTTCCTCTCTGATCCGCCGGGAAACCATATCCTTTAACAAAGAGTTAACTGAGCTCCTTTCAGCCCTCTTTGACTTTTTGAGACAGATTGTGAACAGTGAAAATATGGTAGGCCAACAACAGAATCAGTGCTTTTTTTTGTGCATGTATGCATGTATATGCTAATGCATATTCTTTATGCTACATAGGATGAAGACATAGACAGTCGCTCTTTGGCTCTTAGTGTAAGTGACATGAAGCAGCTGCTGCAGTGGAAGGAGGACTCGGGGGAGCATCCGTTATCAGAACTGGAGAAACACATTATGGTACATGTGGCAGCTTAGGTTATATATCATAATTAAGCTGTGCCCTATAGCCTGACCTTCTCTCTCATTTTCCCATTTGTGCAGAAGCTCTGTAAGGAGGATGAGTCTTTAGAGACTCTGCTCGAGAATGTGGCTGGACTGCGACAGATTATTGAAAGTTCTGGAGATGCCCCAGCTAATGCAGAGCCTGAAACGGAGCCCACTCTACCTGCACCAGAGCCCCTCCAGACACAGTTCAACCACAGGTAGTACAGACACAGAGAGTAATTATGTGTGTGACCAGGGTTTTGTAGTTAACTAAAACCGTTAAAAAAAATTTGTTACTTGAAATAAACTAACTGAAATAAAAATATAAAAAAATTAAACTTATTTCAACTAGTAGTCTCATTTTCATTTAGTTAAACCTGATGTACTAAAAAAATAAATAAAGCTAAGACTGAAATAAAAGAATAAAAACCATATAATGTTTGAGGACGGTTTTTGTACTCTCGGATGTTCTGGATGAGCAGTTAAAGGCCCTCTGGTTCTCTCCATTCCAGTCAGATGAGATGGAGACAGATGTTGACATGGTGAGACCGACGTGTGTTTGCAGGAACAATAAATGTATTTGTGATTTAAATATATGATCAAACAAAAACTAAAAATTTTAAGGTAACACATTTTTGTTTTCCTTGTTTACAGAAGTTTTAGAATCATTATTCATTATGGAGTCTGTTCATTTTGTTGAGTCTGGATTATAAATGAATTCTAAAAGTATTAATTGCTTATGTTACGTGAAGTTGTTCATGTGAGAATTGTTAATGTATGTGTTGCAGGTGAAAGTAGACCTAGTTGCACTGGCCCAGCAGTGTTGCCCAGACTTGGACCTGAAGGCGGAGTTAGAACGTTCGTTCCTCAGTGAACCCGCTTCCCCAGGACACAGCAAACCACCCAAAGGCTTCAGACTGGGCAAACACAAACATGAGACCTTCATCACGTCCAGGTACACAACGTGTTGTACCATTCTAGTCAGAGATTACTACTTTACCTTGAATGTATATAGCTACAAATCATTTTCTTCATTTGCAGTGGGAATTCAGACTATGTGCAGCCTGCGAAACGAGCTCATTTCATGGCAGCCCCTCGGGGTCGGGGGCGTGGTGCGTTTGGCCAGCTCTCTCGACCGCATGACATTTTCCGTCAGCGCAAGCAGAACACCAGTCGGCCTCCATCCATGCATGTAGATGATTTCCTTGCTGCAGAATACAAGGACGTGGGTCAGCCCACTGACCTAGCCCTGCCCAAACGCCCACCAAAAGGAGGAGGAGCCAAGCCACCGACTAGAGGCTTGTTTACTGGAGGAAACAGAGGGAGGGGCTTCCAGAGTCACACCCGCTTCTTCACTCCACCAGCCCCCAAGAGTGTTCTGCTTGCTGGTACACATATGTTTGACTTAGCACATATATACTCCGTACTACTCCTATATGTGGCTGATGGAATCCATGACACATTATTTAAAATAATTTGTTTGTTTTAGGTAACTACCCTCGTCGTGAGGGTGGTCGTGGATCCACTTGGAGCACGCCAGTGACAGCTGACACTCATAGAGGGACTTACAGTGAACCTCGTGGAGGGCAAAGCAACTTCGCCCGACCATTACCCTCCAGACAGCCACCTACAGGTAGGCCTTTAAAATATATATATAAATAAATATTTTTTATATATATATATATATATCATGTATTGATGAGTCAATAAAATCAGTGCCATTAACGACAAAGTTATCTTAAGTGATTTTGCGCAAATACAGATGCTTAATACATCTGTTACCTGAATAGTGGGCGTAGATGTGTGATGTCTAAAGGCATGCGGTCCTCTGGACAGTTGTTATGGTGGATGAGCCATCCATGAATGCAGGAGCTGCAGAAGGCATGTTCACACGGAGCCTGCAAAGGATCTTCTAACACGTCCCGACACACACAGCACAGCAGACCCTCGTTCACATAGCCTACAAAACGTTCTAGATCGTAGCCCATCCTAGAGGACACACACACACAGAAAACAAACTGATGTAAAGTACCTAAAAACATATAATAACTAAAACGTCCCATGGTTATAACATGTTACATTAATGTAATGGGGAAAATAGCTAGTTTAATTTCATTTAATTTTCAAATCCAACAATACACCTATCCTGCAGAGGATAAGAGGAATGGAGAATGAATGGGTGGATCCAACAACAAAAAAAATACAAAGATTACATATTTTACACATTAATACTTTCTAAATAAATCTCTAAAACATTTAAAAACAGACATTTAGCAAAAAACTTATAAATGAATAAAATAATAAATTAATAGATTTTTGAAGTTTAAAACTTGAAATGTAGCAATAATAATTATTTTAAGTTTAAAACATTTATTTATGTCCACTATTTGTGCACACTAAAACCTACAGACTATTAATGTATGCTTAAAAGCATAACTTATAATAAAAATATATAGAACATTTCCTAAAATATAATTTAATATATATTCCAAAAATATATTATATTACCTAAATAAATTAAAGCTGCATCATGGTCATAGCAAGTCACATTATTATAATTAAAACCAATACTACATTTAATTTAAATTTAAAGTTCAAACTATACAAAAAGAAAAACTACGATTACATATTTTGTACATTAGTATTTTTAAAATGAATGTCTTACATTTTTAAAAAGAGAAATTTAACAAAAATTCTTTATTTTCAAGGAAAGGTCTTAAAGGTCTTAAACTTTTAGTACAGAAATGTAATAACACATTTACATTAAGTAGACCTTTTCTAAATGTGTTCAAATAAAAAAAAAAACTGAAAGTTAACAATAATATTTATTTTACAATAAAATAAATCATGCAAATAAGGTTTCAAATATTTAAGGCCACTGCATGTGTACACTAAAATATAACAGGTTATTTAAGCTTAACAGCATAATGTATATTAAAAATATATTCAGAAAATGTCTTTAAATACATTATATATATATATTCTAAATATATATTCTATAAATATATATATAAAAAACGAACTACCTGACAGAGTCTGTAGTATCTTGTCTCCCCCGCTCTCCTTCTCTCAGGTGTGCTTGCTGAAGGTGGTCTGGTCAGTTGCCTTAGAAACAGCCAGGTGGCAGCTGTTGGACTGAAACATGAGTGGGTGGGGTTACGAGTGTAGAAATTCACTGGGGATCTGGGGTCAGTTTGCCATCTTCATTTGTACTAAACCTTAGGAAATAGACTCTTTAACAAGCATGAATTGTATGGCACGCAGTTTATGAGGCACCTTTTCAATGCAACTCTCACGTGTACCACAGACCACGTAATGTGTAACAAATTTGCAAGAACACAACACACCTGCTGAAATCTCTTAGGGAAACCCTCTGGGAAACTCTTTTTCATGCTGTGAACAAATGAGACTGAAGCACCTGGCAACCCCACACACAAATACACTATACACACACACTATACAAATATCCTACACAAACTCTACATGCAAAGGGAAATATTTCTGGTGGTTCTATGGTAAAATTGAACAGAGAGTTCAGAAATACAAAACTCATATTTAAGATGCCTGTTTGAGAATAAATTAGAGATCGACCTATATAGATTTTTTAATAACTGATACCGATTATTTGTTTCTATGTCCTATAACTGATATGCAAAATTGATATTTATTTAATGTTTACTTCTGGTTTTGTTATATTTCATCCTCATTTCACAACAATAAAAACATAGCTTTTTTCATTTTTATATCAGCAACACTTGTAACAATATTTACAAAGTGTTGTCAAATGGAGACTGTATCGCAATTACCCGCATGAGATAATAAATTAATTTTCACAGAGCTGTAAGTACGTAGATAATGATTAATACTGAAAAACCATACTGGTAAAACCGATTATCAGTCAATCTCTAGAATAAACGCAAGATGACATCCTCAAAAACAACCCCTTAAAAGTAACAGGTGACCTGTGCAAGTGTTCCTGCACCTGTCTGGCCATGTGAGAGTAAAGACAACTGATTTCCTCTAGAGTGTCAATGTGTGGCTTGTGCATTTAATTCTATACTAACACTTTTCTATACTGTGGCACTCCAGCTAAACCTTTATTGTCATTTGTTGCAGATTCACAGTTGAGGAAATATTGTGTAATTGTGAACGTCTTTCTGAAGGGGAGGATGTTTGTCTGTGCTGGTGTGTCTGTGTCTGGACACTCTTACTGCCTGAATGATCTCTGTTCTTCATGGCTGTGCTGGGATTAGACCGGATTATGCTTTCCCACACTCTGATTGGATTATTTTCCACACTGCAACATTGCAGCTTCACTTTCAGACATGCAGCAGTATATAAAACACTGGCACAACACGACCAGACATGCATCTGTGCACATGCAAGAGTTAAAACAGTTACTGAAGTTCCATGTGATAATGAAATAAAAATGAAATACCATCACAGTCAAGCACTATATCTTACAAATTGCTCAAATTGCCACACACTGATATATATTGAATATATATATTTTACAGAAATCATACTTGCAAAGAACAATTACCAGCGAATTAAATATTCTATAGCTGAGATTACTAAAAATGTATCTTGGTTATAGAAACATCTATGACTTTATACGATTTATTTCATACTGTCTTTTCCAGGACTAACAATTTACTGACATATCTAGGTTTCACTGGCTATGGGAAACCTGTACAGTACTAATGAAAAGCAGAAAACATTAAAAAATGAGAGTGTACTGCTTGACGGTAAATAGTTCATTAACAACCCATCTCTACTTGATTGATTAATATCAATCTGAAGCATGAAGGATAGTGATTGTCTGATTTAATTTTGAAATAAATAAAAGACATACGAATCAATAAATGGTTTGATGTCAAAGCTATACTTGTGTACAAAAGCTGTTGGGTCATATTTGTTGTATATTAAAAGGGTTAGTAATGTGTAGGTTGTACATAGAACTTGCCTGTTTGATAAGTGATGGCTGACAGGGATCATAATTTTGAGACGTCTCCTGGGTTTGCTTCATTTACTTCTGCTGGATTAGATACAATTTTAGCAGTCAACATTTACTGTCAGGTTTCTTTGCCACTCTCTTTACTGTTGATGTTGATTTCTGCTGCTCATAAGCTCCTCCACCCCACCCCCTTTGTTTGACGTAGCGTTTCGACCAATCGCAGTGAAGATACGTCACTTCCGCGGGAAACTCGAGCTTGATGTTTTTCGATGGAGTTTTTGAAAATAGGATTGAGTGATTGACGTACGCGGAAGAAACACAATAAAAGGTAAGCATTTAACGTATTATCTGTCTTCTTGGAGTATATTAAATCCGAGTACATTTGAAAAGTTATAGGAGAATTAGAGGAGGCCAACGAGGCTTACTTTTGTTTACCATGGTTTAGCTAAAGACAGCGACTGATGCTTGTTATATGTCCTTTGCGTAGAGGGATAGTTCACCCAAAATAAAATGTATGGCATTGTTTATCGCATTCCTGTGTTCCCAAACCCGTATGAGCAGGTTATTTTTAATGAATTTAGGCATATACAGCCAGGCCAGTGTAGTCCGATTGCTGACCGAATGACTCTTATGAGTCGGTTTTGTTTTGGTGAATCAATAACAGTCACCTACGAACCGCAATTTATTATCGTTATTTATTTATTAAGAACCGTTAATGTATTGTTAAGGCTGGTGAGACTTAAATCGGTGATATTGACTGGTTGTTCATATGACAACAAAGAGTGTATGTATATATATATATATATATAAGTTTATTTGTGATCAGTGGTATTTTATAAATAATGAAAGAATGAAATGACACATTTTTGTTTATTTATATTTAATGTATAGTTAGGCCTCTAAAAGTGTGTAATGCACATATGACACAAATGAATAAATTTAATAAATAATTTCTGGTGTTCTATCGATTATGCTGAAATTTGAAAGTATCTCACAATCATTGATAACAAGCTATTGGGGCAATAAATGCAGTAAGATCTGCGTTCTTCTTCAAAAATACTGAAAGAGTTGTTAATGATAATTTCTTCTTTAGTTGTCTACTTAAGAAAGTAACTTATCCCTTTAATCTGACCTTTGAGGTTTCATGGTTTTCTTACTGTGTGGTATTTAACTTGTGTCTTTATTGACAGGATGCGCAGATCTGGAGCTCCGAGTCAGCTTTGTGGAAATGCTGCTAAGAAACCCAGGTTTATGCCACCAGGGCCGGCGAGGAATGATGGACCACCTTCATCTGGTCCCCAACCAGAACCATCAGTACCGTCACCACCACCACCCACACCTGCTTTGAGAAATGTGTTGCTCAATAAGGTCAAAAACAAGAGAATAATTAAAAAGTGCTCATGTTGACAAATGTTATCCAATGTTTGTGATCATGTACATAATTTATATGTGACTGATAACATCTTAATATTCATATTATCTATTTAGTGTGTTAAAACATGTGTCTTCATCTGTATAATGATAATAAGGCAGTTATTGTTTGTTTTTGTCTGACAAAAAAACAGACACACAATGTTTGTTTTCCCTTGCGGATGTTGTTTCAAAAGTTATTTCTCCCTGCAGGTCCAGAGGTGTTTGAGTAGTGCAGATGCTTCAGCTGTGTCTAATGCTCCAGTGGGCAGTAAAGCTTTAGCCAGGGTCCTGAGTGCTGTTCCTCATGGTGAATGTAAAGAAAACAGCTTCAGGTCTTCACCTGACTTTCCTGAACCTAAACAACTAGCTGCTCACAGCTGCTAACAGCTGCTCATCACAGCCAAACACACATGCCAACTGCACAGCTACTGGTAAGATACAGCAATGTCATATTTTGTGTGTGTGTTATGATTAAAAGGTGATTGAAACATCACTTGTTTTTATCTCTTGTTCAATAAATGTTAAACAGATTTTCAGTCTGGTTAGTGTATAAAGTTTCCTTTGGTAACGAAATTGTAATATCTGTGTAATGCATTACTTGTAACCATATTTTAAACTTGGACTCGGAGGACATTTTTTAAAAAATAGATTTTTTATATGTAGATTTTTATTTTTGATAAACCTGTGCCACTCAACAATATAAACACATTGCTGAAAAGGTGTTCTGTAGTTACAACTCACCTTAAATGGTCTGTTTTTATGTTTTTAATTTATTATCTCCTTGTAACCATTGGGTTTGGAAACTGGTATTTCAACTGTAGGTTTTAAAATCTGTCTCTAAATGGCTCCTGTTATTGAACCATAATCCAAAGAGCTTAATTGATCTGATGGTCATTATCGCAAAACAAACCCCAGACTTGTATTACCTCTAACGGGTGTTATTTAGCAATAATGACTGCATTGTTCCCTTTATTACACCGCTACTCCCCAAATAAAGAAATACATGGAAATGAAATACTGATTTATGTTTTAATTAGGTTACTATTTAGCCTTACTATTCAGCCTTTTTGTAGAGATGCATAGAGAGAGAACAAAAGCACAGCATGTAAGAAAAAATAATTTTGATTAGCAGTATAATATACGTTGCCATGGGCGACGGTACCGCTGAATGCCATGACTGACTAATCAGAAATTCATCCAAAGATAATTGTCTCGGATTTTTTGTTAAATCTAAAGATAATTTTTATAATTTACTTTTTTTTTTTTTTGTTTGTTTGTTTTTTGAATAATGCGTCTGTTTTGCATGGTCTTGCGAACCTTATCACGTTGATATTTTATAATGTCGCACGAGTTGCTAGGATGTAGTGTACAAAAACTGTGATTAAGAAAGAGGAAATACACTTGGTCACTAAGTTTTAAATGTGTGAGTAAAACTATTAGAGAAAAACAGCAAAAGGTTCAGAGAGCAGCCAGGCTGAACAAACGGCATCTTTATTCCCCTCCTTTAACTTCGGCTTTGAGTGAAACTAACCAATCCGAGCTCACGGACCGCTTGATTGACAGGCGCTACATGCGTGATCGTATTCGTGCCGCGCGCCGCACAGATTCAAGGCAGAGGTGTCCTGCTGCATGCTAGGAGTGTGAGCTGTGGTGCATTTGTCAGTCAGCCTGGGAAATGTATAGCAACTGGTGTCCGAAAAGCAGTTCTCTCACACACAAAACACTGTCTGTACGCACATAATGCTGGAGTTGTTCTGGCGCGAACTCGTTAAGCGTCAGTTTAATGTTTCCTCTGGCGGTTCAGCACTCGCGCGGACTCGCTCTCTGCTGTCAAAACACGGACTTGACGCGCTTCAAACATAACAACACGTTCAAAAACGCCTTCAGTCGTTTACCGCTAAAAATGCAATACTTGTCGCTGTTTGCAGCGGAATAAAAGTTCTGCTGTGTTTCTAGTCTAATGAAGTCGGGCTTGTTATGTAGGTCAGGCCAGGCTTAAGCAGCTTTACTGAACCTGCGTCAGCTTAAGCTAAAAGGAATTCCAGCAAAGCCCTCCCCGGGTAGGCGTGGGCCTAATCGAGGCTGGCCTAGTTAAGCCTGATTCTTTTTCTT